TATCACCTGGTCCTTGACTGTTGTCTTCCTCCTAATGTGGCTATACAGCAGTTTCGGGTCAGATTTGACTTTCGATGCTATGTCGTTTTCATACTGTCGCTGGGCCTCCCTCCTTATCTGTGCATACTCGTTTCTGGCTCTTCTACTAATCTCCTTGTTTTCCTGGGTCCTATGCCTCCTGTACCTTTTCCATTCTCTGTTGCACTTAGTTTTTGCCTCCCTACACCTTCGGGTAAACCAAGGACTCGTTTTGGTCTTCCTATTATTTCTGTTTCCCTTGGGAACAAATCTTTCCTCTGCCTCCTTGCACTTTGTTGCCACATATTCCATCATCTCGTTTACTGATTTTCCTACCATTTCTCTGTCCCACTGAACCTCCTGCAGTGTACAGTGTCTTGAACGATTCCTTATTAAGGTATCGGAACGCTATTCTCAGGTTTGCCAGACACCCGTATGCTGCAGCGGTTATTTGGTTGATGTGTGCCTCCGGTGATGTGCTCGGTGTTATGGTCACCCCAAGGTCTTTCTCCCTGAGTGAGGTCTGTAGTCTTTGTCCACCTAGCCTATACTCTGTCTGCGGTCTTCTTTGCCCCTCCCCAATCTTCATGACTTTGCATTTGGCTGGATTGAATTCGAGAAGCCAGTTGCTGGACCACATGTCCAGCCTGTCCAGGTCTCTTTGCAGTCCTGCCTCATCCTCATCCGATTTAATTCTTCTCATCAACTTCACGTCATCTGCAAACAGGGACACTTCAGAGTCTATTCCTTCCATCATGTCGTTCACATATATCAAAAATATCACTGGTCCTAGAACTGACCCCTGTGGGACCCCGCTCGTAACAGGCGCCCACTGTGATACCTCTTCACGTACCATGACTCGTTGCTGCCTCCCTGTCAGGTATTCCCTTATCCATTGCAGTGCCCTCCCTTTTACGTGCGCACGATCCTCCAGCTTCTGCACTAATCTCTTGTGGGGAACTGTGTCAAAGGCCTTCCTGCAGTCTAGGAAAACACAATCTACCCACCCCTCTCTCTCGTGTCTTACTTCTGTTACCTTGTCATAAAACTCCAGGAGGTTTGTGATACAAGATTTGCCTTCCATGAACCCATGCTGGTTTTCATTTATAATCTTGTTCCTTTCCAGGTGTTCGACCACTCTCCTCCTGATAATCTTCTCCTTGACTTTGCACACAATACATGTCAGAGACACAGGTCTGTAGTTTAGTGCCTCGTTTCTGTTTCCTTCCTTAAATATGGGGACTACATTAGCTGTCTTCCATTTCTCAGGTAGTTGCCCAGTTTCAAGGGATGTGTTGAAGATTGTGGTTAGAGGCACGCACAGCATCTCTGCTCCTTCTCTAAGGACCCATGGGGAGATGTTGTCCGGTCCCATCGCCTTTGAGGTGTCAAGGTCACTTAAGAGCTTCTTCACCTCCTCCTCAGTTGTTCGTATGTCATCCAACACTTGTTGGTATATTCCCTCTTGATGTTCCCTTCTGTGCTGTCTTCCCACAGCCCTTCCTGTCTCTACTGTAAAAACTTCCTTAAATCTCCTGTTCAGCTCCTCACATACCTCCTGATCATTTCTTGTGAGTTCTCTACCTTCTGCCCTTAATCTGATCACCTGGTCTTTGACTGTTTTTCTTCCTCCTGATGTGGCTATACAACAGTTCGGGTCAGTCTTGATTCTCGATGCTATGTCATTTTCATACTGTTGCTGGGCCTCCCTCCTTACCTGTGCATACTCATTCCTGGCTCTGCGACTGATCTCCCTATTTTCGTGTGTTCTCTGCCTTCTGTACTTTTTCCATTCTCTATTGCATTTTGTTTTTGCCTCCTTACACCGTGTGTGTGTGTGTGTGTGTGTGTGTGTGTGTGTGTGTGTGTGTGTGTGTGTGTGTGTGTGTGTGTGTGTGTGTGTGTGTGTGTGTGCCTGCGTGTGTTAAGTCCGTGTGTGTATGTTTGTGCTTGTGTGTGTGTGTGTATGTGTGTGTGTATGTATATTTCAACCAATAACTCATTACAGTTGTGACCGGGTGTGGACGTTATAACTGCTCATTACTTTATAATTTGTTCATAATTGTAGCCATGTATAAACGTAAGTAAATTTACTTACATGATTCATTACCTTTGTACCTAGTTCAGCTATCAAAACTTTGGGGGCCCCGTCCCTGGACCCATTATGTACCTCTGTAACCTTTTGACTACTGTACTGTAATACAATATAATACAATTACAATTACTTCTGAATACTTTCGTTTAATTTCCTTGGTTAGCTCAGTCGGTAGAGCGTCGGACTGTAAATATGAGGACGGCGGTTCGATCCCCGCCTGAACCTTTCTGTTTATTAATGGACAGTTGTTAATTAAACTTAATTTGAGTAAATATACATAACAAAGTATGAGAGTGAGAGTCAGCATGACTTGGTCATCATTGTTTGTGTAAGATCACAATAAAGTGAAGCAATAAAATCCTCCATAAGGCAACCTTCACTTGCAAGATCATCATCTTGTTGTGGTTAGTACGTCAGCTTGCGTGTGGCCAGCAGTAACAGCCTGGTTGATCAGACCCTGATCCACCATGAGGCCTGGTCTCAGACAGGGCCGCGGGGGCGTTGACCCCCGAAACCCTCTCCAGGTAAACTCCAGGTAAACCAGTTGCAGATGATGGATGAGTAGTGAGGGGCATATAAATGAGAATTGTTCGACATTTTTTATTTGTCGACCGATTTCGTTCAGTTTTGGTGTACTAATAGAAGCTTATATCGACCATGATTTGATGAAGTGCCAGAAAGATCGGCTGAAAGCAAATGAAAAAGAAAACAAAATTTACGAAAAATTACATTTGGCAGAGCACAGGGCCAAAGTGGTACTTGGAAAAGTGGTTTTGACACTTACTGCTGATAGAAACACTTTTAATTCCATCCTCCCTCGTTCCTATTTTTGTAATAAACCTTATCTTCGTTCTAAAAAAAATACAGTTTCTATGTTTCATGACATATAGGAAGATATCACCCTTGTTTACTCACACAAATCTGAAAATATTTGGGATACGTCAAAAATCGCAACGAGTTTGTTGTGAAAATCATGTCAATTCGTTCATAAATATTGGGTCTGTGGCCCCAAATAGGTAAATAACTTACTTCCGAGATATAGGCCTATACGCGCGGCAGCCCAGGTATGCGGAGAAATATTTCTTTTGTCTGAAAAATTCGCTTTATTTAAACTTTTTCCGTAACCTACGAGTGTTTATTACAGTTAACCATCGTAAATTTCCATTTTCTCTCACAATAGTAACTAGAGAATGGGTATATGATTTTGAGATGTGATTTGTCCGTAGACTTTTTTCCCTCTGGGGCGTCATATTATGCTATATATTATTTGTTCTGGTGTACGTTTTATGCTTCTATGCTATTATTATATCACCTTATTAGATCAACTGGAATAGGTAAATAAGCCTTATACTTGTTATTAGCATAAGCATGGAATATTTTGTTGGCTGGTGTGTGTCAGCCATCTCAACACCATTCCCAGGGGAGGTTCCTGATTGGTTTCTGGACCACATTAACTCCGCCCACTCTACAATGATCTCAAATTTTGAATTTGTATTATATTAGATGTAAGTAAGTAAGTAAGTAAGTTTATTCAGGTATACACAATACAGTTACATAGAATTATCATACATAGCAGCATATGTGTAGAGAACCTAGGATAACCCAAGAAAGTCAGACACAGTGACTTATTTCCATTGGGGTCCTTTTACCTTATTATTATCATATAAAGGTTATAATATTTTCTTATTATTCTATAATGAAGATAACATCTTATTATCATACTAAAAAGACTATCTACTACACGAGGGTCATTAAGACTATCTACTACACGAGGGTCATTAAGACTATCTACTACACGAGGGTCATTAAGACTATCTACTACACGAGGGTCATTAACACTATCTACTACACGAGGGTCATTAACACTATCTACTACACGAGGGTCATTAACACTATCTACTACACGAGGGTCATTAACACTATCTACTACACGAGGGTCATTAACACTATCTACTACACGAGAGTCATTAAGACTACTACACGAGGGTCATTAACACTATCTACTACACGAGGGTCATTAACACTATCTACAATACGAGGGTCATTAACACTATCTACAATACGAGGGTCATTAACACTATCTACTACACGAGGGTCATTAACACTATCTACTACACGAGGGTCATTAACACTATCTACAATACGAGGGTCATTAACACTATCTACAATACGAGGGTCATTAACACTATCTACAATACGAGGGTCATTAACACTATCTACTACACGAGGGTCATTAACACTATCTACTACACGAGGGTCATTAACACTATCTACAATACGAGGGTCATTAACACTACAATACGAGGGTCATTAACACTATCTACTACACGAGGGTCATTAACACTATCTACTACACGAGGGTCATTAAGACTACTACACGAGGGTCATTAACACTATCTACTACACGAGGGTCATTAAGACTACTACACGAGGGTCATTACTAGGAATAAGGTAAAATTTACAAGTATGTTAGCTAAAAAGTAGACTTTGTATATAGTAGTATGTCATTGTTGTCAGCTAGGACTGTATACCTTGTACATGTACTTGTAGTAAATAAAGTTATTATATTATATTATATTTTATTATATTATAATGAAAAAAATATATTTCATTGTGTTTGTTTATTATTAAATTATTGTAAACTTATCTAAAATACATTTAGTTGGATTAGCTTAAATTAAATTGCGTTTGTTATAATGTTAGGTAAGTTTTCTAAGGTTCTTTTTGTACAAAATTATTAATTTTTACATTAACATAAATGAAAAAATATATCTTTAAACGTATCAGAGAAATTTTTAAAAAGGACTTAATTTTAAATGAGTTGTTGCTAATTGACTAATTTTACCTATTCTGCACGACATAAATAAATATAATATGCCAGCAGGCCACTGGTCTGTTGGCCAGTGTCTGCTGCTGCTGCTGCTGCTGCTGCTGAACATTGTTTACCTTGGTAGTGCTGCTGTGTCTGCTTCATGTACAACTATATAGTGTCTACTGCGTCTGTGTAGACTCTATATAGTGTCTGCTACATGTGTATAGCGTGTTGTAGTAACTGTAGCGCAGCATGTGAGTATAACTACTAACACTCGCACCTGCTGGGTATACATGAACCTCTCCATATGTATATACACGCAAGTGTATGAGGTATATACATATGTATATTTCAGGCATATACACAGGTGTATATATGCCTGGCTGGTCAGGTACTGACTTTAGGTGCCTGTCCAGCACCTTGAAGACAACCACGAATTTAATTGTAATCCCCCTTATGTATGCTGGGAGGCAGTTGAACAGTCTTGGGCCCCTGACATTTATTGTGTAGTCTCTTAGTGTAGGGAGATGCAGCATAACCGCTGCTTTTCATTGCGATATGTTGCATCTCCTGCCCAGTCTTTTGCTTTCATAGTAATTTTCGTGGGCTAATTTGGGACTAGCCCCTCTAGGATTTTCCAAGTGTATATTATTTATCTTTCTCGCCTAGATTCCAGGAAGTACAAATTAAGAGACTTCAACCATTCCCAGTAATTTAAGTGTTTTATCGTACTTATATGTGCCATGAAAATTTTCTGTGCATTCTCCCAGCTGTTTTATTTAACCCCAGAAAGCTCTGGCAACAACTAAAACAGCTGGGGTATAGTAATAAACCTGTAGATAGATTTAACATAGTGCTAAATATTGATAACAAGATATACCACAAAACTACTAAGGTTTTAATTGTTTTAGTTCATATTATACATCTGTCGTATTAACACTAGTAAGTAAACTGCCGGTTGCATCAAATGCCTTAACACACATTGATAAGTTTAAAGTATACTACACTAAAAGGGGCATCACCCCGAACAGTTGCCAACTGGTAGGTGTATCTTATGACATTGTACAAGAAGAACTAAGTAAAACCCAACAGAGCACTGATCCAGATAACATCCCTGCTAAGTTCCTAAAAGATGGTGCCTCAAAATTACCAGTACCCATTGCACACATAATAAATTTGTCCAGTATGGAGGGGTTCAAGGAGGCCAGAGTTACTCCTATCTTCAAGAAAAATAGTAGGTCTGATATCAGCAACTGTGGGCCTGTTACCTCTCAAGGGAGGTTCCTTGATGCTGATGAGGGGCTCTTGATCTAGGTAATTGGATCTGTGCTCTGGTTCCCTGAACTGAGCCTGAATACCTTCCATAACCCCCCCCCCTGCACATGCAATGTATAGTCCTACGGGTTTAGCGCTCCCCCATAATTATAATACAGGCCTGTTAGCATATTCAGTGTGATACCTGGAGTTTACCTGGAGAGAGTTCCGGGGGTCAAAATTCTAGAGAAGGCAATATACTTTCAAGTAATTAATTATCTGAACCCTTTAGGGGGCGGGTCCGAGTGTTTTTAGGACTTGACGTGCTGTTGGAGTGTGAGCAAGGTAACATTTATGAAGGGATTCTGGGAAACCAGCAGGCTGGACTTGAGTCCTGGAGATGGGAAGTACAGTGCCTGCACTCTGAAGGAGGGGTGTTAATTTTGAAATAATCTTAAAATATTATATATATATTAGGAGTTTTTGAGTTGTTGGTGGCAATATATAGTAACTGTGTTGTTAATTTTGGGAGATGAGGTGATTTCTAACCAGAGCCTTGAATTGTTGTGCAGGCAGGGGGGGGTCCTTTTGTATGTTCAGGCAATAAATTCCAGATCTTAGGGCCCTTTATGTGCATAGCATTTTTGCATAGTGAGAGATGGACACGAGGGATATCAAAGAGTGTTTTGTGTCTTGTGTTATGCAAGTGAGTTCTGTTGTAGTTCTCAAGAAGGAGTTTGAGAAGAGGGTTAATATTGGAGAATAATGTTCTGTGTATGTAGTAGGCACAGTAATATGAGTGAGTATTTCGTATGTTAAGCAGGTTCAGGCTCTTAAATAGTGCTGGGGTGTGTCGCCTGGTGCAGGAGTTTATAATCAGTTTCACAGCAGCTTTTTGTTCGATTATCAAAGGTTTAAGGTGATTTGCTGTGGTTGAACCCCTTGCACAAATATCATAGCTAGGCTTTAATTAATAAGATATCACAAGGACTCCAAAGTAAATAAGTCATGCACAAATACCATAGGTGAGGTAAGGGTAGCTGAGAGAGTGGTTAAAGAGCAAGAAGTGTTATTTGGGGTAGCTAGGCTTTAATTAAATAATAAGACATCACAAGGACTCCAATGTCAGTAAGTCACTTTATCTTACTTTTTTGGATTATCCTAGGTAATTTACACAAGTGGTGCTATGTATGATAATTGTAGTCACCTAAATTTGTGTACACCTGTACCTAAATAAACTTACTTATTTTAATTGTTTTCCAGGGGGGGGGAATCTTCAGGCAATTTTTTTTGTTATTATTTACCTTGCATACAGGCAGCTCCATTTCAATGCAGTGCTGTTGAACTTTATTTTGTTCTCACTTTTTTTTTAAATTTCTCTAAGTTTAATGATAGAGAAGTCAGATTGAGCTGTAATAAACAAGTTGCTGAATAAACAGAAAGATGGATGGGAGGCTCGAACTGTGGTCCAGAGACTGACAGGCCCAGCACTCTGCCACTTTGGCTATGGTGGTTTCTAATAGATCAAAATGAATTTGGAATGATTTGGAAACAGTACTTCTGTATATTCTTCTGTCAGCAGCACCAACTGTAACCCAACTGAACTTCTCCTCACAGCTAAGGAGCTTTAGCAGTAAATCTATTCTTACCTCCCTCAAAGCCATATAGTCTATGAACTCAGATTAAGTCATAATAAATTACTGTCAATATGACTTTGAGGGAAGTAAGAATAGATTTACTGCTAAAGCTTCATGGCTGTGGAGATGCATTCATTTAGGTTATAGTTGGTGCCTCTGACAGAAGCACCTACAGAAGTACCGTTTCCGAATCTTCCCGATTAGAAGCCACCATAGCTGAAGCAGCCAAGCACTGGGCTTGTCAATCTGTTGTCTCCCAGAATGTGACCCACAATAGTCAGCTAACACCCAGGTACCTACTGAATTTATTGCTAGGTGAACAGGGGCAGCAGGTGTAAGGAAAGATGCCCATGCTAGGGATTGATCCTGGACCCCTCATTGTGTGAACTGAGTATGTTACCCACCAAGCTATGAGGCACAGATCTTGTATGCTGAGGTATGGGGAAAATGAGAGAAAAGTAAAGCATTAGTAGTGTAGATTTCAGAACATAATAGTGCTACTTTTAAAGAGTATCCTTACAGTCTGATACTTTTGCCGATGTGTGTTGGATGTAATTACGTATTAAATTTCAATTTGTTGTCCATGATTTAACCTGGGAATTTCCCCTCTCATTTTTTTCTATTTCTGCTTTATTAACCCTTTCAGGGTCCAGAGGTCAAATTTCAAAGTGTGTACCAGGGTCCAAGAATTTAAAAAAAAATAATTTTGTTACTTTTTCGTATGAAGTGGTAGAGAATCTTTTTCTGAAGGTAATAAAACAAAAAGGACGAAATTTGATGGAAAATTGATGAAATTATGCTCTCGCGAAATTTGATGTGTCAGCGATATTTATGCATCGGTGATTTTGCCGACTTTGACTCCCATTTTAGGCCAGTTACATTATTTCAGTTGACCAAATTCTTAGCTATTTCACTAGTATTACTTCTATTTTATTGATCAAGCACAAGAAATTGCCAAGTCAGCTGTTTCAACTACAAAATAGTGATTGGAAATTGGTAATGTGGCTAATTTAATGCAAAATTCAAAATACAGTGGAACCTTGGCTTTCGAATGCCCCGCCTCGATCGATTTTTTGCTTCTGGATACGAACAAAATTTCAGGATGTGAACTTCCCCCTCAAGGGAGGTTCCTTGGTGAGGGGCTCTTGATCAAGGGAATTGGATCTGTGCTCCACTTCCCTAAATTAATAATAATAGCAATAATAATAATAGTTATTATTATTACATACTAATAATAATACAATTCACCAGGCCTGTTGGTCCATACTAGGCAGGTCCTTCACAATCCATCCCATTAACAGAATATTTGCCCAACTCAGTTTTCAATGCTACCCAAGCAATAAGCTTTGATAATTCTATTTACTCATGTGCAGGTCCCACTCACGTCCAACCTCTCTCACTCGTGTATTTATCCAACACAAATTTGAAACTACCTAAGGTGTTAGCCTCAGTAACCATACTAGGGAGATTGTTCCACTCATCAACATACAAATATAAGAAAGGAGGAACAATGCAGCAGGTCTGTTGGCTCATACTTGGCAGGTCCTTCACAAATCCAGCCCACTAACAGAATGAATGCTACCCATGCAATAAGCTTTAATAATCCTGTGATAAATGGTTTAATAATCTTATTAATAATCCTATTTAATCATGTGCAAGTCTCACTCATGTATTTATCCAACCTAAATTTGAAACTACCCAAGGTTAGCTTTAAAAAGAGATTGGAGAAATATATGAGTGGGAGGGGATGGATATGATTGGTGTCATGGGTACATAACATTAGAAAGGAGGAACACTGCAGTAGGTCTGTTGGCCCATACTAGGCAGGTCCTTCACAGATCCAACCCACTAACAGAATAAACGTACCCAAGCAATAAGCATTGACAATTCTATTTACTCATCTTGACTGTGTGCTAATGGAGGTACAGGAAGCTGACATCGAGGAATGCTGAACACTGACAATGATGCACCTGTTGTGCATTCTTTGAGAGATGAAATTAGATGAACTGTGATATATAAATAAACCGAAGCCGTAGAGTTGATATTAGCATCATATTGAAGTATTTTGTCGTGCCTCCTAAGAGCAGGAATTTCATTGGAATGGATTAATGCCATTTCATTTAATTTAAATGAGGAAAATTCACTCAGCATACAAACAAATCGGGATACGAATGAGGTCATGGAACGGATTAAATTCATAAGCCGAGGTTCCACAGTGTTCCAGTTTCAAAATAAGGGCCAGAATAAACAATGCAGGCATTCCTGGCACTAAACTAACATTTCCTCTGCTCATTAGTTATGTTTTCAGGCTTTACAAATGAATTCCATTTTGATTTTTTATTCACATAATGAATTTTTATTCA